GTAAGACTGCAGCTTGAATAAAAAGTCAATAGCTCTTTCCCTCTTATCCCTTTACCAGATCTTCAGAGAGAAAACTGCTATTCTGCAGTTCCCTTAAGAATTGCCTGACAAAATCAAGAAATGCTAAACTTAGCAAAGATAATGTGTCTGAAAACTAGTGGAAGGGTTGGGAGGAAATAAATAAACAAACTCAAGAACAAGAGGCCAGAGTTTTTCACACACACTGTAAAGACAGACAGAGAAACCTACTTCCTATCATTGTAGGTCATTCTTCACTGCTTCATCTTGATATGAATAGATCCCTCAATAGTTAACTTAGTCAAAGGAGGATTCAGATCAATCCTCCCCATGCCAGCCATGCCTTCTTCTAGATCAATAATGGCTGATGAATAACTGCCAAGCTCACAACACAGACACAATGGAAATCCTGCTCTTTTAGAAAGTGCCTTTGCAAGCCCTTTGGATAAGGAGTGCTTTACTGCTCCTCTGCTAAATCTCAGCAATGAAGCTGAATTCCTGATGATGCTGCCATTCTGCAGAAGCAGCACTGCGCTTGTAACCTGCACCTTTCTTTGAGGATTTAGCAAGAGCTGTTTGAATTCATTTGGAGGTGATTTCTAACACAAGTTCTGTATAGCTTTCATCTTTAATAAAGTCAGGGTTTTTTTTGAGGTAGACTCTGCTTTCACAATACATGGAACTTTGTTTTTCAAAATATCTCGGATAATTGGAGGGTTTTTTTTCTTTTTTTTTTTAATTTTATAATACTGTAAGCAATGCAAGTTATCTGACATAGAATTAAGGGGTTCCTCTGCAAAAACTAGTTAAAAATGAAAAGTTGGAAAGATCAGCTGGAGCTTACGGTTCACATTCATAAATCAAATCCCTTCATTACACTGAAACACTGAAAGGAGAATCACTTTGCTCACTTGAAAGGATGCGCTTTTTTTGGAATTCAGTCCTTTTGATGGATATATTCCCAATAAAAATGATGTCTGATAATAATCTATAATAGCATTATCCATAATAAAAGATAAAAGTTATTTTACAGGATGCTTTTTCAAAAATTGGCAGTAATTGATGATAAATATCTCCTTTCAACAGCACCTGAATCTACACTGTTAAAATAAAACTGAAGTTACATGTGCACCACTCTAGACTATGCAAACAGACTTGAAATTTGTGGGTACAGATTTATGGCTGGAAGGATGCATTCTCCTTCAAGCTGTTTGTGCAACCTACTTATCAGAAGAAAGAGATTTCCTGGAGATTTCATTTAATTAGCTGGAACAAGCCATTAGTAAAACAAGCAACTAAAACCATAAGTATATAAGCTACTAGGCTTCTAGCATAGCTTATAAAAAAATAATTAAAAGTATATCCAAAAATTCAACCAAGGAGTGGCCAGGTTCACTACTAACCAGTTCTGGGTGGACAACAGTAGGAGTCTAGAAAGGGAGAAGTTAGCAGTCTGACAGTAAATATAAGGAGAGGAGAGGAAAACGTGATCCATGTTAATGTTGTTTGTATCCCTCCCTTTTTAAGCTTCTGAAAGACTCCACTTACTCCTGTGGCAATTAGGAGCAATCATCACTGCCAATAACATATTTGTACTAAAAGTCATCAATCTAAGACAATGCCGTTTCCAAAAATTCAGAATCAGATTAAAGTTTGAAATGTAGCTGTTCAACTTTGTTTACTGGAATAGCCACTGCCCAGTGGGATCTGGATATGAATTGAGATCTGAAATTCCAGGGAATTACATGAGACTGTAGATATGTTTCTTCTATTAACCATAATGAGAATTGCATGACTCATTCCTCTCACACCAGGCTACAGCATACCCTGCAGTTCTGTACTATGTATATTGACTTGATTTGAATGAAGCTTTGTGTAATAAGATTTAAATTATAATGAGTCATTATGTCAACCTTTTTTGTTGGTATTTTACATAGTAAATCTATTGCGCAGTGTGCAGTATGTTACTGCAGAAGATCCTTCCAAATATGGTAAGTTGGCAGTAGGTAGGTGTAAAAAAAAACTCAGCATGGCCATGGTTTCCAAAGGATGAGTTTTGTGTCTGTGTGCTTATTACAGCCATTATTATCAGTCCAAGATACACTCCTGAATCTATCACATGTAGATGTATGATGTCCTCATTTGCTTTTAGTGGGTCGAGACAATCTGCTTATATGGGCTTGAGGTGAACGTTGTCAAAGTAATATTTTTCAAGACTGTTTAAACATTAAGACATGCACACATGCACGCACACAGAGAGCTGTTTTCTAATAATCCTTTTATCAGCCTGAAGCTGAAATAAGTTTCTTTCTTGTAAGGATCTGTTATTGAGAGTTTCTTATTAGTAACTAGATGCTGACATTGATTTCATTAAAAAATAAGCGCAGTCCCAAAGAGCTTTTGATTTATTTTTTTTAATTGCACAACATGTAGAGTATAAACACAGCCTGCTTTGCTCAGAACTGTACCTCTTTAATTGCTTGAATTAAAAGGGTTTCTGGATCAGCATTTTCTCTCATTTTTCAGTATATGCTGGTGGCATGTTATCAAGTCATCTCTGAAACCTCTAAAGCTCACTGGAGCTGAAAGTGATGTGGAAAAATTATTTGTGTTCATTGTAAAGAGTATTGAAAACACACTAAAAAAAAACCTTTGGTAATGACTGTTTTGTGCAAAATCAACTGTAGATAAAGTATCTTTTCTTCTTATAATGAATAACTATACAGGACTTAAAGAATTAACTATGTCTTTTGTGCCCAGTGACTAATAGGCAAACCTTGCTAATCTATGCCAAAAAGTAAACAGGTTCTAAGCCTAGACTGTAGGGTTTTGGTGTCACCTTTTCCAAGACAGGCTAACAAACAAAACTGTTCATGGAACAAACATGCAGGCTCACAAATACCTTTCTCTATGTGGTTCTGCATTAACCTACAAAGCACTATTCTCCAACAGTTTCTAAATTCTGGTGTTTCCTATTTAAGTATCTACAACAACTATGAGCATGCTTCTCTTGCTCTGCTCACTTCTTGTGTGAGAATTTAATATCAACAATTAAATGATTTAATACTAAAAAGGAGCAGGATGGGGAAGTGGGAGAAAGACCAGAAGACTGACAAAGAAATGGGAACAATGACTGAAGCTTAAAGCTTCTTGCAGTCTATCACAGTCACTCATATTACACTTACATTTGCACTCTTGCTTCTCTTAACTATCATCTAAGTCTTTACAAGGTAGGCACCAAAAGCTGTAATTGAAAGCTACAGAACAGGCAAATATTGGCATCTAATAGCTAGTGTCCTTCCCCGCCTTTCTCCCCTATTATGTATTGCCTGTGAAATGGTGTCAGTGAACAAAAGATCACAGAGCTGGCTTTTTATTTCCCCAATTTATCCTTAGACGTAGTTTTTCTCACCCTCACAGAAAACTGTTTTGTATTTAGGATTGGTTCTATGGTCCTTTTTGCTGGCAGCCGCATTGTGCTTCTGTTAGTACATGAAACATGAACATGAGCAGGCAGTGTGTGCTCACAGCCAAGAAAGCCAACCCTATCCTGGGCTACATCAAAAGGAACGTGACCAGCAGGTCGAAGGAGGTGATCCTGCCCCTCTACTCTGCTCTTGTGAGACCTCACCTGGAGTATTGTGTGCAGTTCTGGTGTCCTCAACATCAAAAGGACATGGAACTGTTGGAACAAGTCCAGAGGAGGCCACGAGGATGATCAGGGACTGGAGCACCTCCTGTATGGAGACAGGCTGAGGAAGTTGGGGCTGTTCAGCCTGGAGAAGAGAAGGCTGCGTGGAGACCTCATAGCAGCTTCCAGTATCTGAAGGGGGGCTATAGGGATTCTGGGAAGGGACTCATCATTAGGGACTGTAGTGATAGGACAAGGGTTAACGGGTTCAAACTTAAACAGGGGAAGTTTAGCTTGGATATAAGGAGGAAATTCTTTCCTGCAAGGGTGGTGAGGCACTGGAATGGGTTGCCCAGGGATGCTGTGAATGCTCCATCCCTGTCAGTGTTCAAGACCAGGTTGGACGAGGCCTTGGGTGATATGGTTTAGTGTGAGGTGTCCCTGCCCACGGCAGGGGGGTTGGAACTGTATGATCTTAAGGTCCTTTCCAACCCTAACTATTCTATGATTTTATGATTCTATATCAGGTAAGGTATATAAAAAATACTTACAACTAATTAGAAATCAGTGAGGAAAATCAGGGTGAAATTTAGAGATTAATACAGTAGAAAACCAAACAATTAATTTATGCTCAAATCAAGTGAATTAATAGCCTACTTGTTACCTCTGTTGATTTTTTTTTAATCAATCAATCAGTATCATAATTCAGGAGCAGGCAGGAAATATATCCATATGCTTTCCTTGCCTTGTAGAATTAGCCTAAAGAACCGAACCAAAATATAGGATTGCAGACTTGCCACTTTTTTTTTCCCTTAGAGGTTCATAAATTATTTAAAGTTTCTTCATTTTCAGAATGCCCAGATGAATGCACTGAAATATTCAGAGACTAGAACCTAAAAGATTTTACAGGTGACTCAGTAATTCTTGCCAACAACTGAAATAAAAATTATGCTTTTTTCTTTATATTTTAAGTATAAGGAATTATTTTTTTCTGTCTTAATTTTCCCCGTTATCAACAAATCACTTAAGATAATCACTATTAAATGAAAGGATATAAACATAACTGAAATGCAAATGTATGTTAGCAGTCCATTTTATTTTCCTTGAAAATACTCTTTCTCTTTTCACTCAGTTCTCTGTATTTGAAAAAGCAATATTACTTTATTTCTGGTAATTAAGTCTGGCACTCATGCTTTTTTCTATTACTACTTTTCTTAATGCTTATTTAAGAACTTTGCAAAGTTGAATACACAAGGTTCCTTTTCAACACTTGTATTGATTTTTCTTTTGTCTTTTAACAAACAGACAGCAACCTGTACACAGCATGGAAAAAATAATAAGCAGCTAGTGCTCAAACAGCAGAGTCAACATTTTTATTCTTTTTCTAATGATCACTATAAGCAAACCAAGACCCACCTGTACCCGAGTAGAAAAGGAGAGTCCTTCATTTCTGAAGTGTCAATGATATGTTAAAAAATTAAATAAGTGGGGCTTTCCCCCCCCCTTGAACCTAAAAACGAAGAAATAAATTGAAATGGAACCTTTTCAGCTTTTTTTATTCTCCTTCCTAGGCTTTCTGAGCTTACATGAGTTACTTGAATTCAGGTACCTGACCAGAAATGGGCTGCAAATATGTTAATTCAGGAGAGCAGGGAAACTTAATCTTGATTATGAATTAACATTGTCACTATAGCGCAGATAGTCAAGATACGGATATGCATCTCAATCCTCTGTGCATAACCTGGCTGGAATACAAGAGAGTATATCACAGCATTTTGTGTATACACTTTTGAAAGTTCAGTCATGTGTCACACCTTTCTGTGTGAAATTGTGTGAAATGGGTCCGAAGGTACTGATGTGTTTGGATGGAGAGGAAGTCACCAGAACATAGCTGAAGAAAGGGTAAGTATGTGTGGAGAGATAGTGTTTAAAAGCCTTACAAGGTCTGGTAAGTTCTGGGGACTGAACCTGCAAAAATGGATAAAACACCAAAAGTCTGCTGAATTCGTCCAAAGCCACGAGTACACAGTAGCATCAACAACTGGTCATATCACTCAGACCACATCCAAGAATGTGGTGGCTGCAGTGTTCAAAGACACCACTATTATACATAAGCCCTTGCATGTCTTCCACACCTACCTAGAAGCTGCTGGTGTCACTGTGGCTCTCCATGTGGCTGGCCTCCCAGCTTTACTCCATCCACATAGCCGTGACTCACTCCATGTGCGTATGTATACAAATAAACTGTTTGGGGAATAAGTGGATGTATAGCAACTAGTAATGAAACCTGGCTTCTATTAATAATACCAACTTAATTCATAAAAGGTTTTGATCTATGTTTCTACCAGCTCAGTCCCCTACCAGGGAAAGAGAATTCGTAATACTTGACCATTTTTTCTAGCTGGGAAAGATGAGGCATGAATCACTGTGTGGAAGGTCTGCTATGTGGTTGTGAAGGAGACCCCTCTCATGGAAGTAACTTCATTTCCTGAACATATCCATCCATTATTGTCTACAAGCAACAAACACCTTATTATTAGTTTTTAGTAAGATCTTTATGAGCTTTCAGTTCATGTTAAGTTTAAAAGGGTCATATTCTTTGATGTTTTGACAATGTAAAGGATTCTGATTTGCTGGGTTGGGTTTTTTTTTTATCTTTTTAAACCTTAACTGGACTCAGAAGGCTGTATCATCAGTAGATAGAATGCATTATCATTAACTTCATGAAGCAATTTCTCTTGTACAATTTTGCTAGTGCAGGCATTCTAGCTTTTAGTTTAATTGAATTTGTTGATAAATCTGTCATGACATGCTTTCTATATATGATCTTTCTACAAAAAAATATTTCTATGGAATAAAAGTTACTCCATGAATAGTATTAGAACAAGGCTTGCACATTGTTTAATCATATATTGAATCAGTTTCTAATAAGCAGTAGGAATGATTAGATTGGCCCTTCGTTCATTTGACTGTCCCATTAACATCTGTGGAATAGGGGATGAGAAAAAACATGTTGAAGCCACAAATTTATCAAATGTTTTCATTAAATATTACCAACTTTTTTCATGATTTAGAAAGAATATTCTCATTTAATCAATAAATGCAGTAAACAAATGCACTATTGCCTTTTGTATTAGAATTTCAGCTTCTACACTTGTCTCCAAGGCCAAGAAAGAGCATGACTTTATGTTGCCGATGTGCTGTGTTTCATCAGGTTGTGTCTTAGTATATACATGTTATTTTAGATCTAAGGAAATGTGACAGAAGGTAACAGGCTATATTGTGGTGCTGCAGTGTCAGCCTGTGTACCAGAAAGATTAGAATTTGCAGTGCTGTAAGCATGTTGACTGGAAAGCAGAAAACCTACATAGTAACATCTAATTTTCTGACAGGAAGTCAAATAATTGGAGCGCACACACTCCTCCATTGCAAAACCACCCTGTTACTACCATGAGAATAATAACAGTTTGCTTTTCCCTTTGGTTTGGCAGCAAGTGATTATCACCTTCCACAGAACTGAAGCAGACAGTGGGTACATTGTATATACAGTGAAAAGGAAATAGTGACTAGGGGCTACTGGATTTAACACATTTTATTACTGCATGCAACGTTATGGATTTAAAAAAAATGGAATCAGTTTTCCCTTTCTGAAGTCTGATTGCAGTATTATTTTTTTAAATTTTATTTTATTTAAATTTTTTTATGAGAATGCTATTGGCTTCCTTTGGCATATTTCTTGATAACAACAAGACTGCCTTGGTTATTACAGTGCTATGTTTCATATCTCTTTGACCACAGTATAAGATGTTCCCTTTACTTAAAGCTTTCTTGATGTTATCAGACTGAGAAAATTTACTTCAGTAGCCCTAAAAGCCATTCCAGGAATAAGACTTGATCCTGCACTCAATTATCTGTTCACATTCCATCAAACAGCTTTAAAGAGGTTAAACAAAATGTAAGGACACCCACTCCTTAGATTAGCCAGGAAATGGTATCTGGGAATTGACTTTTTTCTTTCCCCCAATAGAAGAAAAAATAATGTCAGCAAGTCTCTGGGTTTATCAAAACCAGGCTCACCTTCATGGCTGCCAAATTGTCTTACAAAATCAATTAGTCATTTTGATTTCACTATATTTCACAAAAAATGCAGAGGAGGACTCATCTCTGAAGAGGATGTGATACTGGTGTGGTCATGCAGAACAGCGTTGTCTTTCAAAGTTATTAAAGCCAGTCAGTGGGAGAAGGGAAGTAAAATTAGGTCATCTTAATTCAAAGCCCTATTTTATTCTTATTGCCATTTCACTTTTGGTAATCATCAGCCTTATCCAACCATCATACTCACTTCATCTATCTCACTTGATAATTATGTCTTTGTAAAAAAAACAGAAGTTTACTTTTGGATGTTTTTAACTAGCCGGCTTCTCAAACTTTTCAAATACACTTTCCTTAATGAACTACCCATTTGATATTAATTAATTTGGAGAAATATGTTACAAGTTACCATACCTTCTTATGTTACCAAATGAAGACCTAAACATTAAAAAATGAAAGATGAGACAACCAGTTATGAATTTGGTGACTGTGGCTACTTCATGTATTTCTGACAATTTCTAAGAAAGCTCTAGCATAGACTAAAATTAAAATAGAAGACCATCATTTGACAGTAATAGTTCAGCTAGGTATGCCCACTTGCACCTACAAGCACGCTAATGCGTATGACAGCACAAGAGGCAGAGAGAGAGAGAGAGCATAAGTGCCTAAGTGGAAATAGAGTGAATAACCTTAAGGATTAAAGTGCATAAAGATCTTTATAGCAAGTGACACAGGCCTGCTGTCAGTTACGGGAAAAAGTACCTCTGTTCCTTCCATGAAGTAGCGCTGTCTGCGACGTTTCAAGGGCAAAATGGAAAGGGTTTGCTGGGATTTTTTTCCATCTAGTTTTTAATATACTGGGATGAAGAAAATCCAGGTTTCAGGGATTTCTGACCTGTAAGCATCTTGCCGTAATCATCTGGTGCATGATAAACTCCAACACTCCAGTCCTTGTTTGGGGTACATATTAATAGGTGATAGACCTGAAATAAAGGCACATGTTAGAAAAGGAGTTCATAAGTCTGTTGGTTTAGCATAGCTTTGGGGGAAGCAAAAAAAAGGAAACAGGAAGATCAAAACAATATGAACAAATTGTTAGCTAGTACAATGAAAAACAGCATGAGAGAAGAATTTAAAAGAGAAAAAAATACTGATATTAACCAGCTCTTGATGTTTCCTTCACCAGCAGAGAAATTTGTGTAGTTGTTCATAAATCTTACCAAGGAAACAACTAACATAATAATGCCATTTCTTCCTAGTAGAAGGAATTTGTGGTATGCTTTGCCCCATCCTTGCTAAACCACACAACTCTTTCTGGACATAAAGAGTAAAAGTGTAATATCTGCATTTCAGGGTGCTTCAAAAATTATTGTCTTTTTGTAGTAATATTTTACCTACTGCCATAAAAAAGTCAATTCTGACTTTGGGATATGAAGCAAATCTTTATCTAAAATCTGGGCTCCTATTTAAGTGCAATATGACCTCTTTGGAATAGATAACTTCTTTAAATTAGATATCTCAGGAAATGTCTTTTATAAAAAAAGTAATCTTTCACCATCTCTACATTGTTGCTGAGCTTATTCTAATCTACCTTTACCTCAGGTGTTAAAAGGATAAAAAATGACTCAAAAACTGGAATGAGTTTTTGAGATGCTGCACTCCTCCCCTCCACCCCTGCCATCTCCCCAACCATGGATACTAGTGTCCCCTAGGCCTGCTGGCTTCTGAGACAGAAAAGCAAAACACAAGCTTTTCTCTACAAATCTAGCCTTTTATTTAATTACAAAAAGACAAACAGCCAAATTCATGGACTATTCCTACACAAACCCATCCTTTATTGCTATTTACAAACTAAAACTGAATATGGTTTAGGTTCTGGGTCTTTAACTTACCTAAACATGAGACTAAACTTCAAATTTCACGTGTTTTACACTGTTTAAATTACCTTTTGGGACCGCTAGCCAAGGTTTTACCTGTAAGAAGACACTTACAGGTCAGAAACTTTATTTTGATGGAAGTAAGTGGTTTTATATCCAGTGTCCTGAAATCCAGGAGAGAACAGCACATGACCTTATGTCAGTTGCTGGCTCAGGCTCTCCTCATTTATATGCCTACATTTATCAGTCTTGACCAGTCTGCATGCTAGACACCAACATATATCCAGAGTCTAGAACTCCAAATTTGCAAGCAACCCCAATTTAAGCAGGATGATGCAGAGCCAGGCTTTGTGCCTGCAGCCTCAGCACACAGGTGACAGAGCCATAATTCTCAGTGACTGCAAGAAAGCCGAACGCTTGTGTCATAGACTCAATTTCTTCTTCATTTGGGTTATGTACAGCAGAGCACACTGCTGTCAAATGAAAAGCAGCCTTATGTTTCTCAGCAGTGTTGGCAAGTTGAATGGGAGAGAGTTGAAACATGTTGTCTTCCTGAATGTACAGGACATGCCTAAGGTGCTGCTGAGGTGTAGCAGAGGCTGGGTGGGGAAGTTTTAGTTGACTTCTAATCTGATGACAGGAGGTTCTTGGGGAGAGTTGCTTTCTATGTTTGTCTTCCTGTGAAAAAAATGTGGTTGAGGATGCAGCTATACATTCCTGTGAGCTTAGGAAGGGCCAGAGGGAAAAGCGTGTGTCCAAAGATGGCTCTTTACCACTTCAAGATAAAGATAATGTAACCGTAACACCACTGTCGATCTTAAATGTAATGCAGCTATTGCAATAGAGTTATTGTAAGTACAAGGAGCTTTATCCAAAAGTATACCTTTGGATACCTTTATCCAAAAGGGCAGAAGAAATTCCATGTAATGCAAAGACAATATGAGGATCGGATTATGAGTTTATAGCAAATTAATCATCTGCCTGTGAATCTTGTTGTCGTGGTTTAAACCCAGTCAGGTAATTCGTTCGCTCACTTCCCCCCCTTTTCTTGCCCTCCCCCTGCTCTCGGAGGGACGGAGAGGAGAATCGAAAAGAATGCAACTCCCACAGGTTGAGATAAGAACAGTTTAGTAACTAAGGTATAACACAAATCACTACTGCTACCACCAATGATAATAATGATAAAGGAAATAACAAGGGAAGAGAATACATCATCTCACCACCAGCCAACCGATAACTCGCCCCCCCAGCCCGACCAAGCTCTGACCGATACCTCCTCCAACCCTGCAGTCTCCCAGCCCTTCCGGCTCACTCCCAGTTACATCCTGGGCATGACGTGCTGTGGTATGGAATACCTCTTTGGTCAGTTTGGGTCAGGTGTCCTGTCTCTACCTCCTCCCGGCTTCCCCTCCTCCCTGGCAGAGCATGAGGCTCACAAAGTCCTTGGCCAAACCTAAACATCACTATCAGCTCTGTTCCCAAGCTGAAAGTCAAAACACAGCACTGCACCAGCTACCAAGAAGGGGAAAAATGACTGCTACTGCTGAACCCAGGACACTTGTCTAACCTGAATTTAAAATATATTCCACTGAAACACTTCTTAGCAAATAATCTTTTGAATACTGTTCAAAAAATGCTTTCCATCATTTTTAGTTTTTGTAAAAGAAGTTCTTTGTGGCTTGCCCTTCCCTCACACAGATCACAATGAAAACAAGCAAACAAAATACATAGATCGTGCCTGACTCAAAGCTTGCTCTGTGCATCCAGCACAGTGGTACATCAGGGGAAATGGGAGCCTAAGACAAAACATTCACCATTTAGAATGTGGAGGTCTGCCTAGTTGTTGTTTGCCATGTGATCTCCTTCCTCCCCTTCTCTAGTAAGAGTCTTAATCACTTCTTGTACACAAATATAATTGCAAGAAATAGGGTGTATTTGTTCCCATGATGCGAAATCATTTCAGCATGGAGACCCAGAATCTCTCAGAAGGCTGCCCTACCTCTACCACTTAGTCATGGAAACTTAAAATGCAGAATCAGGCTTTTAGGTTATTTTTCAGTTACACTGCACTGCAACTGATGTCTCCTCTATGAGAAGTCTAAACACTGCAAGGACTCTGGGATCTTTATAACATATGTGTCCATCCACAGGAGCTTGTTTTGCCTTTCTTCAGCAGCTGCACAATGGCTTGGTTTCATTTTTGATAAAGTATAAGAAATTATCCAGGCCTCAAGACAAAAATGTTCAAAGCTGATGTTTTGATCATTTAAACATCAATACCACTGCCTGCACACAGACTGTTCAGAATTCTTTCACAGGATGGACAGAAAGTAAAGAAAACTATTTTCCATAGTACTGCTGTCAATTAAACCTCTGCCCCCCTCAAGGCAAGCTCATGCCTTTGGACTTGTCCTCTCCCAGACAAATTTGATCATTCTCAGTCTCACAGAAAACAAGAATGTCTTCTGTGTGTTTATCTCTGTGATGTGGTTGTACGAATTACGGTAAACATTCTTAATGTAAGATCGTATGTTATACTGGAGAAAGCAAAACTTCATGGCAGAGAAATACCTGATTTTTTTCCCCCTAGATATGAGGTCCACTTGTCTTGGTTGCTTGTTCCAGCCCTCAAACCAGGGTAAGTATTTTGCCTCGCACAGTTATTAACTGACTCCATTTACTGTCTGAGTAGGCAACAATCAGGTCTGGGAATGGGCAAGGCCAATCCTAATCATATTTTTTTTCCAGAATGCCTTCATTAAGTGCAGCATCTCTGCACTTAATGAAAAAGTCCAAGAGCTTCAGCAAGTATGAGAGAGAATAGTCTTGAAGAGATTGCCTTCTTTGTTCCTTGATTTCACTAGTTAAGACAGAGAAATAAATAGGAACAGAAACATTCCACCTAGCATTTCTTTCTCTCATGTAAGCGATTCCAATTTGTCAGTTTCTAAAGTAAGAAGATACAAAGTGGAACAAGCTCTGCAAACTTATTATCTAATGTTTCATGCTTGTCCACAGAATGTCACTGTACACCCATTCTTGTTTCCTCCATTAATTTAATGATGTCCATGACACCTTCAGGGCACCAGGTAGCAGAAGCCTAGTGAAAACTCTTCTGAACAATTTCACTCACTTATTGTCTCCTGACACATTCAAACAGTCTCATAGCACAATTGGAGCTCATGCTGGTCTTTAAAGCTAATAAGCGAGTAGTCACCGGCATTTTAATATTTATATAGAGAGATATATTTAGTATCTTATATATATGTATGAATGTCTATATATTTTATACAAATACTGTCATTCTTTTTAAAAAATATTAACACATTATGTGCCTGATTGTCACTGTAGTACGAGCATTAAATTAAGTGGCAAAAATAGAAACTGGAATCTGGTTAATAGCTTCCAAAGCTGATCTTAATTGGCTTATTAGTTGGAGATCATGAAAACAATTTTAGCAGGCATCAGTTTAAATGAACACTGAATAAGTAAGTTCAAATAACTTTGAGAATCAAAGTTAGACAACACACAGTCAATAATGTGTGATCATCAACAAATGACAAATACATGAACAATGGAGCAGTATTATCCTTCTAGCTCTACTTAGCTGCAGAGACTTCCTGTGTATCCATCAGATTAATTGTTTATTCCAGTTATTACATTCATTCAAATGTATAAGAAAGCAAAGCATTGATTTACTGCCGTCAAGGAGTACTTAGTGCAGCAATTTAAACAAAGCACGGCTGTCTCCATATATAATTCATGTTTATTATAAATTGTAAAGGAGAAGGAAAATGCTACAAGAGTATGTGTAGACTCAGCTATGTAAATTTCTGTTGTTTTCTGAATGTAATAAATACAATGTTTACCTGTCAAAATAATCAAACAGAAATTTCCTGCACTGAATAGTTAATTTCCAGAAGGAGAGACAGTGTTATTAAAAGCATTCTGCAAACACTGATTGCTTCATTCTAAACTAAAGCACATCATTTGGTATTTAAAAGCTGTCTGGATTTGCTGCTTTGTTGTTAATATGCTTGACACATATGCCTCACAAATCTTCAAATGGTCCTAAAATGTGTCCTGGATTATTTTTGCTGGGATAG